ATATATATATATATATATATATATATATATATATATAGCTTAACCTTTTAACAATAACAGTATACAGAACAACAATAATTTAAATAAGAAGTGCGATTAGGCCTAAGATGAGATTTAGCAACATTTTGTTACTCTTAGAATCCTAGTTTTATAATTAATAATAACGTTATGCTCTTTACTTTACGCTTTAGCATATGATTATTGGTGGTAACGTTAGGGAATTTTTACTGCACTGGTGTACAGGCCAAATTAATGTCAAACATAATTTTATTTACCAGAGGTTTTTTTTTTTTTTTAGTACAAGGGAACTACAATGGAAAGACACTGATATGTTTTCTTTTGTGAAAACTATTGGGATATTCATTCCAAGAAGAATATCTAGGACTAGCGAGACTACTATTACTAAGCTGAACCAGAGCTTTTATATAAAAAGAAATGAGACTTTAAAATGTCTTCTTTTTCAGTGTTCAACTAAACTGAGTAGTAATAATGAAATATTGTATAAGAATGGGAAACATCGTTACTTAAGCACTTTTCTCTGTGGAAGAAATTATTTTAAAGTAACTAAGTTACATGTACAGTACCTAACTACTGATACTTCCATGAGTTATTCAGAAGTTATTTCTTATTTAGCAGAATCACTCCAGTGTACTCATGATGAAATGAAAGGAATTGCAAAGAACTACCCTAGGATGTTGAAACACTCTAGTGATAAACTTTTAGAAATTTTGTGCTTATTGCACAAAGTAGGGTATACTAAACAACAAATACTTGACCATCCATGGCTTCTCAGTTACTCAAAATTTACCTTGCAAAGAAAACTTGGCATTTTGCAGGAAGCCAATATCATTGACAACATACCTTTATTGTTGATTTCAGAATACAAGCTAAGAAGAGTAATAAATCAGATAAAAAGATATTCTGGTACTACACCTAATCTAACAATTCTAGATCTTAATGAGCGGATTGAGTACTTTGAACAATATCTACAGGTCAATAGAGCCCAAGTAATCAATTTGTTACAGCAACATCCATATCTTTTGACAATGAACCTTGACCGAATTAAGAATATAATGGAAATGATGCTAAAAGCGGGTGTCACTCCATTGTCTATTAAGAAAGACCTGTGGATTTTTCTTCATAATGAAGAAGTCATGAACAGTCGAATTGCTCAGTGTCAAGCTTTGGATATACCAGTCAAACCATGGATGTTACGTTGTCCAGAAAATACATTTTTGAACTCCATCAGACGTTGGAGAGAAAAAAGAGAAGTGTTTGGTGATCATTATGATGCCAGAAAATACTTGGCTGAAAGACTGCAGTGTAGTACAGATTATGTAAAAGTTTTAGTAGAGAAGAATAATCAAATCCTTTCAATTAATCCACCAAAATTAAAACAGGTAAAGAAAGGCTTGTGTTTCTTTAGTAAAGTTAATTATGTACAAATATGCAGTTCAGAATGATTATCTAATTCATTATTTTGCCTTAATATATTAATACTTTTTGTAAATAAAATGGATACATTTATTTTATATTTGTTACTTTTAGAGTTTGTATTAATGAAGGACAAAAGTTATATTTTTACACAAACAAGTGTATATGGTTTTTTTGAGCCCTTTTCAGTAAGTCATTATCCTAACTTAGATGAAGAGATCAAAGCTCTACACAATATACCAAGTGAGGCCTAACTAATGATTTGCATAGAGAGATAATTACATTTTTTGACTTGTGATCAATAGGTCTATAAATATACCCTAAAATTTCATTTGCTTCACTACTAGCAACAGAGAACTGCTTTGATGACTTAAGTGACATATCAAATATGCTTTTCTTCAGTCATGCTGTTTAATAGGTTCCTAGCTGTATTAACTGTGTGATTAAATTATGATAATAACCCAAATGTATTACTTGTTATAATTGAAGGTCATTTGCCAAATATTTGTCCAACCTACCAAATGATCCAAATTGTTCTATAAGGCCTTAAGAGCTAGGAATACTGAGTTTAATATCACTAGCAAACTTTACTAATGATGCCTCTATCAGATCATCAAAATCATTAATGTAAATAAGAAAATGCAAAGGCTTGAGTAAAGTTTGAAAATGATTTGAATATTTAATGAAAATAAACATACAAGTTAATGTAGTAACAAATTTGTATAGCTAAACTTGTAATAAAGTTTTCTTTATTACACATTCAAGCAGTCTTCATACTTTAGTGTCTCAAAGTGAGTTCTTTGCCATCAAAGGCTTGAGTACTTGCCCTTTAGGTACTCCACTAGTAACAAAGGTCCAGTTTGAATTAACTCCATTTAATAACAACCATTTGCTTTCTTCAATCCAACAACCCTACAATACAGTTAATTAGCTTTTATCCAACACCTGCCAAGAAAGAAGAGATAGATGCAAACAAAATGTTCAGTGAAATGAATATGTAGAAAAGCATTATATTAGCAACCAATACACTAACGCTATCAGGTATACAGATGAACATGTTAATATTCAATTTGTGGTGACAGTTACAAGTAAAACTTTCATCATGTCATCAGTAACAAGTTGCAATCTAATTAAGTTTAATTTGAAAATATTTATTAATAATTTATTTTTACTATTCCTGAAATAAGGGTATTAATATAACATACACTGGACAACCAGGGGCATGTTGGTCCATCATTAGCCATCAAGACTTCCATAAACTGAACTAATACTCAGTAATAGAATATCAACCTCAAAGCCAATCTGAATCATTTAAATACTTGTTAAGTCTTCACTTAAACACCCTTGAATTTACTGCATCAAATACATCCAAAGGCAACCCATTACCAAGACTATCCACCATGTTAGAAAAGTAAAATTGTATTAGTTGTAGGTGACTCCTATCCTGCAAAAATATATATTTGTGTCCAAATTCAATGACGAGGAACCCACTTTGAGACTAATAATGCTTGGAGACGACTTGAATGGGTAATGAAGGAAAACTTTAATATAAGTTCAACATAATAGCAAATGTACAACGTTTCAACAAGGTTTTGTCATCATTACCCATTCAAGTTGTCTCCAAGCATTATATTTGTGTCCCCTTAACATTGTCATGCCCGATGGGGTTTTTATGTTGCTCAAGACCAAAATTGCATCACTGAATTAATAAAATTATTGAGAAGTTTTTCGAAGTCCATTTCCATGTTTTATATTTTAACATACTACTATAATATTGTTTCTATTAAATTGTATTATTTAATTAAGTTTAAACAGAAATTTAACAATAAAAACATCCTAAGTATGTTTTAGGTTATACATAAGCATCCTCTAAAGTTAAACAATAGTCTTTGGGGATTTTTTAAACTTTTTTCCACCAAAATTACAGCAAAATACACCTGTTTAATCAATAGTTAACTATTTTCAACAGTTTGGTCTATAAATCAATGGTCCTGGTGTATACAAGCTTAATTTTAAACATTTTACCTAATCCTTGTCTCATATGCCTCATTTGTCATGATCTTATGTAACAATGTGTTTCAGTGTCAGATATAAAAGACTGTTTAGTGTAGGTAGTATTATTAATTAACTTGTGTTCGTAATTCATTGATGTCGAAGCTATCAAACATTGTGTTTGTAATCCATTGATGTCAAGGCTATGGAAATTTCTAGAAGACCTAAGTGATAGACGTATAAATAGCTGCAACCAGATGAGCAGAAATAGAGTAAAAGTAAAGTCGCAAAAGAGAAGTTCAGTTGGAGAAAAGTTAGAAAATGTAAAGTTAACCTTTGTGGGAGTGAATGGCCTAACAGTCTATATGTTAGAGTGAGATTAACAGTTTGAAAGAGATAAGGAGAATAATTCGTTTTGTCAAAGGGTGTTTTAAACTAATTGAACCTGCCTGTGTGGACTTTGACATAAGGCAGAAAATTATTTGAAATTCAAGATACAACTGCAGTAACTCACATGACAGCATAAGTGAATTATACATGGATACTAGTGCAATAAAAATAAAGAAAAATAGTTCAGCTTGTCAACTGAATTCTAAAGCAGTTGAATTGGCCTAAGCGGACTTTGACAAGAAGAAAACTGTATAGTGTTTAAGATACAACTATGATCTCCTCAGTGTAAAGAATTTTGTACATACCTTAAACTTGTTTTGAATGTGTGTGTGTGTGTATATATATTATTTTAAAAACAAGTGGAGAGTGTGCGTTTGTTTATTGTCATATTTATCACCAACAAGTCACAGACACCTACTGTAGAAGAATGCTTAGCCCAATATACCCATATATTTACATCACTATATATACTACTAAAAAAAGTAGGTTCCAACATTTGGCAAGCCACAGCCAGGATTATACAGTGGTAAATGGAGGTAGAAGAAAATGTGAACAACAGCGGAAATAAGTAGGCATGTGTACGTACAATTTCTACAGTTGTAGGCACAACTGTAGAAGTAGCACAAATAGTGTCGAGATTACAATCATACTATATAACCATGTCACATTTTGATAAATGGATAGAAAGAGGAGAGTTTCTCGGGTTAAAAGACAATGAACTACAAGAGTTTATAAAACAAGAACTAGAGAGAGAATAAGAGCACAAATTGAGAAAGAGAGAGAGAGAAGAGACTACAAATAGAGAGAATAAGAGCACAAATTGAGAAAGAGAGAGAGAGAAGAGACTGCAAATAGAGAGAATAAGAGCACAAATTGAGAAAGAGAGAGAGAGAAGAGACTGCAAATAGAAAGAATAAGAGCACAAATTGAGAAAGAGAGAGAGAGAAGAAACTGCAAATAGAGAGAATAAGAGCACAAATTGAAAGAGAGAAGAGACTGCAAATAGAGAGAATAAGAGCACAAATTGAGAAAGAATAAGAAGAGAGAGAGGAGGGACTACAAATAGAGAGAATAAGAACACAAACTGAGATTGCAAAGCTCACTCAGCTGAAGGAAGAAGGACCCAAGAATGATAACGGAGTCAGGGCCAGCCGACTCAAGCTTTGATGAACAGAAGGATGACATGGATGCTCTCCTGGAGAGATATGAAAGATTCTTCCAAAGTCAGAACTGGGACAAAGGTGACTGTGCAGTCTGTCTCAGCCTATTTCTTACAGGAAAACGCCTTCAAGTATATTCAGGTGTGACATCAGAAGATGCTATAGACTATGACAAATTAAAAGTGGCTTTACTGAAGCGATATGAACGTAATGAAGGTGTTTGCTGGAAGCTCAGACACGTCAAACCTGACACTGGAGAAACTGTATTTCAGTTTGTGGCGATACTTCAGAAGATGGACTGACATGGCCAAGTGTGACAATAGTTTGAGGGGCTGGCAGACTTATTCTTACATGAACAATGCATGATCACGTGTTCAACAGACATGTCATTGTTCCTAAAGAAGAGAGCACCAACAGATATAGAAGAGGTGATCAAGCTGGCAGAACAGTATATGGAAGCCCATGGAGGGGATATAACTGACAAGTCCAAAAATATCCAGTTAAATTCAAAACCAGTGATGGTTGACTAGAATGAAGAGTCTGCCAAAGGTGACAGGAGGTTAATAGACAGAAGGGAGAAGACATGCTATGTTTGTTAAAAAATGGGATACATTGCAACGGAGTGCAAGTTCATTACCAGCAAGCAACAGTAGAAATCTCAACATAAAGCAGCTGTAGCTATTTACAAAGATAGTGCTAGTAAAAGAAAAGAGTGACTGGCACCATGGATGTTACTGCCAGAAGAAACAGAATCAAGAAAACATCAGATTTGCCACAAGAAGGAATTGCTGATTCCATGATTGATCAGTGCACAACTAATGGTTGATGGTTGGCTCAAGTTAGCAAATGGATCAACAGTGCCAGTAGTGCTTGGAGCCGTGTGACAAACATCAAGAGGTGATACCAAATCAGAACATGCCAGTAAGTGAAGGATATGTTGAGGAAAAGAAAGTGAAGGTTTTATGAGACACTGGGTGCAGCAGTGAGAATTAGATTAGTATCTGATGATCAGATGACAGACAAGGTATGTCTGTGTGTGTGTTAATTGATGGGACATTGAGAAAGTTTCCCATAGCAAAAATAAAGGTGGATACTCCATATTATTAGGAGACCTTGAAGCCATATGTATGAAGGAACCAATATATGACTTAGTGATAGGAAACAAACCAGGTAGTAAAAATATGAGGGAAGTGTAGGAGAAAGACCCTTCACCACAGAAACTTCGGGACAGTACTTGAGAGGAAGTCAAGCACAAGACAAAGAGGAAAGAGACTTACAAAACAGAGGATTGGAAAGGAGTATTGAACTGGACCTATCAAAACAGTTTTGCTGGGAAAGCCAAACCCAATGACAATCAGAAATGCTTCTATAACAAGAAGGTAAAGGGTCAACATTTCAAGGTTAGACAGAAGGTTTTAGTTCTG